TGAGACTCCCAAGTGAAGGGCGGGGTATAAATCCAATCTCTTCTTCTTCTTCTCCACCCAGCTGAGCCAGCAGCAGTGAGTTCCACAGCTCAGCAGAAATAATGGTAACCAGCGATGCACTGTGGTAGCGCGAAAAAAAAGTTCAGATGGGCGCAGTGTGGGAAGTCCATCAGTTTTTCTCCCAAAGGCTGGTTTGCAAGCAGCCCAGGGGTGTACATTTTATACATGTGGTAGGGCAAGGAGGTGAGCCTGGGGGCCATGAATACCTTACATGCCTGAGATCCTGGAGAGCTGTTGCCGGACAGAGCAGGTCCAAGGTTAGCTTCATGGCCCTGCAGGCATTGGAACCCAGGGAGGCTCCAACTTTAAGGTGCCCTCCAGTGCTGCATGCGTAGCTGAAGCATGAATGCTCTCCCTGACCTGACCCTGGTCACCCCTGCCCAACCAAGGCTGCTTTGCCCACTCTCGCAGCATGCAGCCTTCCCCACCTGCAAGATATCAGATTTGGAGGGAGAGGGGATTCTACTCCACAAGCACATGAGCCGAGCATTGGAAGACAGACTAGTGAAGGCAGGAGGGGGAACAGGCCGTGCTAGGCAGGGGGAAGAGAGACAAAAAGGGGGATTTTTTTGTGGGGAGCAGCTTGCCGGACTTAAAGGTTCCCTTGCTCGAAAGCCAGTCGAATCAGACTCTAGGGTTGCGGTGCTCATCTCCGTTTCAAAGCCGAAGAGCCAGAGCTGTCCGAAGACATTTTCTGTGGTCATGTGGCCAGCATGACTAAACACCAAGGCACACGGAACGCTGTTACCTTCCCACCGAAGTGGTACCTATTTATCTACTTGCAATGTCTTGCTTTCGAACTGCTAGGTTGGCAGGAGCTGGAACTAGAGACGGGAGCTCACTCCGTCATGCGGCAACTCAGGTCTCGAACTGCTGAGCTACTGACCTTCGACAGCCTGCAGTTCAGCACTTCCTTGCCTTGCTGTCCCGCTGCCACACCAGTACGCATGCATGCTGAGAGAGGCAGGAAGCGTGGCACTTTGACTCTCTGCGCATGTGTAGTGGCTGTGGGGTCCTTTCAAAAAGGAACAAAAAGTGTTGGCGGGAGGGGTTCATGATGGCCCAAGCAAGGAGGACTCTGGCACCTGTTTGGAGGTCATGACCGATGGGTTGAGGACAGCCACTGTTGAATATGCTCCTCCGGCTGTGCATTTCAGTGGAGGCCAAGCAGAAGTGGGCAAATGATCCTTGGAGGGACTTTTATCCCTTTCTGTGAAGATCTGTAAGAGGAACAGCTGATAAGCTTCCAAAGAACCCCCAGTTTGAAAGCCGTTGACCTAGACCTTTTCCTTCAGTATCTTGGGTGCTTTTAGCTTCCGCTAGCTGTATGATAGGAGCTGCGGTGGCTCAAGTGGTTAAGACGCTGAACTGCAGGCTGTGGAAGGTCAGTAGTTCAGCAGTTCAAGACTTGGGTGCTGCATGATGGAGTGAGCTCCCGTCTCTAGTTCCAGCTCCTGCCAACCTAGCAGTTCGAAAGCAAGAAATTGCAAGTAGATAAATAGGTACCACTTCAGTGGGAAGGTGACAGCGTTCCGTGCGCCTTGGTGTTTAGGCATGCCGGCCACATGACCACGGAAACGTCTTCGGATAGCGCTGGCTCTTTGGCTTTGAAACGGAGATGAGCACCGCAACCCTAGAGTCGGATTTGACTGGCTTTCGAGCAAGGGAACCTTTACCTTTAGCTGTATGATGGTAGTCATGGGGGAGAGGGGAGGATAGGATGCCCCAGTCCCCACCCTTGCGTTCTGCCTTGGGTTGGCCTGCTTTTTGGATTTAGCAGCTGAGCACCTAGAAAACGAGCTTTCTTCAAACAGATCAACACACACTTTGGTAATGCGGAGCCTTGGTTTTGATGAAATTTATGTAACTGTCTCGTTTGAACTGCCAGATTGGGGACTTTAAAGTACAGGTCTTTTGTGTGTTTGAGTCCAGCAGGAAATTACAAAGTAAATCATTTCAGTACTTCCTTTCCCGGCTTAGCCATCTTTATTCTTGCCTACTAAAAGAAAAGCAAAATGCTTTAAGATTGCAGTTGAAGTTGCTTTTAACAAAGGGCATTTTGAATCCCTTGCGTGTGAGAAATTACCCACCGAATTATCCTTTTTTTTTTTTAATCCCCCTAAGGGGAAATTTTTTTTTGTTTTTTTTGCAGACTACAAACTATAACAGAAAATTTAGGAAAGGGGACTACATCTAGGGAAACAGAAAAAAGAACCCATTACTAACTAAAAACCCAAGTGTAGGAGATCAATATATCAGCTTATCATAATGTTATTTTAAAAAGCTAATAATAATGAACCTAGTCGGTTATGCTAAGTTAATTAACGTTTATCCATCCCTTTAACTGTTTAAAGAAAACCCCAGAGCATCCCAAAGTTATTTCAAAATGTTTTCAGGCACTAGTCAGAGTCCTTCAGCCCTTATTTATTTTTATATTTTCTAATCCTCAATTTATATGGACTTTTGGGGGCTGCTGCCCCCTTTTCAGAGGGTGAGTCCTCGTCCGAAGACCCCGAGCCTAACTCGCCATTAGATTTGCTTTCTGCTTCTTCCTTTTTGTCCTCCTCTGGTTCCCCAAGCTGTGTTCGGAAAAAGCCATGTGCTTTAAAAACAGAGTCAATCTTTTCTTTTTTATCGTGAAGCTTGAAAATGACGCATTCTGGAGTTAACGATCTGTAACTGATGCCATTTGTTTGTAAGAAAAGGATTAATTATTTGTAGTTCTTTCTCTTTTGTCTTATTTCAAACGAAATGTCTTTTAGAATCCTGATGTTGTTGTCCCCAATTTTCAACGGTGTTCCCGTAGTTGCTTTCAAAATCAAGTATCTTACATGTCTCTTCGAGAATTGACTACTATTTCCCCAGGCAGATTATTTTTCTTGATATATGATGAATATGACCTATAGACCACATCCATCTCGCTGTAGAGGTATTCCGCTGTCAAATCTGTCATTGGGGCTAGTGCTTCACTCAGCCGTTGCTTCAAATTCTCTCCATTAATTTCCAGGACCCCCTGGAATCGCAGGATCAGATTTGCTTTCTCCATTTGCAGCCGTAAAAGTTGTGTTTCTTCCGTGGCTTGCTTCATTTCCAGCTTCTTCACCTTTTTCTTAAATTTTTTAGTGCTGGCATCCATTTCCTTCACCTTCTCTCCTTTTTTCTCTTTTTCTTTTAACGATTGAGTCAATTGCATTTTCTGTGATGCCAAGCCCTGACCAATTGTTGACAGTTGCTGCTTGATACTTGCCATCTCATCCAGCAGAGGGCGCAAGGAATCAGCCAACAGTTTGGAAAGGTCGGAAGTCTCTTCCGGCCGAGGACTACTCCCTAGTTTCGCTTTCAACAACTTTTCTTTCTCCGGTTTCTTCCCCGCCATCTTTTTGGATTTGTTTACTTTTTCAAAAAGTTGCTAAAATCTCTGGTACTTGCCCAAACGCTTATCTGCACTCTGGTAAGTCTCTTAAAATAAATATAGATGCTTGTTTTTCTGCTACCCCCCTCTTTTTCCCGTGTTTCATCTGCGCGTTTGGCAGGATCCCCTCCCCCGCTCACTTTCCCGACGCACTTTAGGGGGGGCAGCTTTCTTTTAAATCTTCGTGCTCGCTTTAACCCGACTCATAGTTCGTTGTTGGCCAAACGGCCTCGCTCGTCATCGGTTATTTCGCCCGATCTCCAACGCTTGTCCTGGTCAGCAGCACTCGTACCATTCGGTCACTCAGCGGCAGGACCTTCGGGGCAGAGGAGCGGCTCAATTCTCTGGGTTCTCGCCATTGAAGAGGTTGCCCCTCAAAAGCCCCCTTCTAGGAGCCTTTTACCAAGGCTCCGGGGGGGTCACGACTCGTCACACCCCCTCCTACACGCTGGTGTGCAGTTTGCATCCCCGGGGCGACCGGGAGATGCGTCTGCCTGCATGTCGTCATAAACCGGAAGTCCCCAAATTATCCTTCTGAATGAGAATAGCAAGGCATGAAATGGTCGGGGAATGTGCCTTGCCTTGCTTTGTATGGAACCAGGAGGCAGGGCCAGCACCTGCATCCCTTGAGGGGGGGTAGCTCAGCTGCCGGGGCTCAGGATTTCTGGGGAGGCCCACTGCCTCTGACTTCCACCCATGCCCCTCTCCATAGCCCTGCTCCCAACTACCCAGTTGTGACTGAGGAAGGGCCTGTGGGTGGTGCACAGCGGTGGTACTCCTGGTGACAATGGGGGCAGGGCTCCCAGCTGCATGCACTGGCCGGTGTTGTCAGGGCAAGGGTGTGCAGAGAGCAACAGCATAAGGTGGGGGGAGGATGAATGATGCATGGACAGGAAAGGATTATGCAGGGGGTAGAAAGGAGAGGATGGGGGCCCGTTGTGATAAGCAGATATGGGGCTGGGCACAGTCTGCTCAGGGGGCCCCCAAAGCCTGGAACTGGCCCTGCTAGGAGGTTTTGGCTGCAAAAATTCATCCTTGTTTCAGGCATTTTAGGATTGTTTTTTTTTAAGTGAAACATTAAGCACTGTACATACACCCATGGCAATTAGGTGAGGAGAGGTTTTTTCCAGCCTGTCTGCAAAGATGTGCCCTTCCCTGGAAACTCTTCTTTGCCTCTCACTCCTCCTAGAACAGCCGAGTTCAGAGAAGCCTTGCTAAGCAGAGGCATGTGCAAGGGGGAGGGGGGGCCGAAAACCTTTTTGGTTCTGATGCAGTCCACAGTGCAAATCCTGCCCTAACTCCCAGTGCAAATGCATCTTAAATGTGCTCAGGAGCGTCCCACTTATACTAGCTGTTTTGATGGCTTTCATGGGACTGTGTCCTTAATGATGTCCCTTTGCTTCTTTTTCAGGTTGGTTGCCAGAAAGAGTTGCCCGCAGCTGTACCTCTGTTTGCATAAGCGCTTTTCAGCTGGAAACTGGACTCGCCCTAGTGAAGCTGTCTTTGGGCCATCCCTCGGCACACTTCCATGGGGACTGTACCAGATCCTCTGAGGTCTGCTCGGCTGTCGTCGGTTGCAGCTCCAGAAGAGAAAAATGGCCTGAGGGAGCCGCAGTCTCCTAAACGCCCGTGCAAGCAAGCAAGCATAGAGAGGAACGGTAATGGCTTTCCTCTCACTGCCAAGACGCAGCCTGCTGGAGATCATTTGCTTGGCATGAGCCGTGCCACGATAGAAGACAAACCAAAGGATGAGAAGCGCTGTGGGTATGACACTAATCAAGCAAGCATGTTTTCTGCTGGGTCTTTAAGCCCGTCCAAAGGAGGTCATCTGACCATGCCGGAGCCTGCACGTAACTCTGAACGGGAAGGCAGCAGAGGTTCCAGAGACCTGGCTGTAGCGGAGGGCCACGCTCCAGTCCAGACGGGAGTCAAGAGGCTTCCTACTCAGGAGGCCAGTGAGATTTTGCAGGGTGGTGACAGAGGGCAATTCTGCAGGGCCATTGATAAGGCAAATTCCACCCTTGGAGATGGTGTCAAGGGCAGTGAAGCCCGTGGTTGTAGCTCTCCATGCCTTCAGCCCACTCCCCAGCAAGCTTCTCCAGCAGTAAAGGAAACCGTCGGCGAAAAGAGTGCTCCTGAGAGAACTCATCTTTCGGTGAAGGAGTCTGAAGCTGTCTCTGATCTTGGGGTCAAGTCCCCCGTTTGCATAGGGGCAGAGCTGATGGATGGAAAGGATGCTGAGCTGACAGATGGAAGAGATGCGAGTCCCTGTCCCAGGGCTGAGGTGGCGCCAGAGACGGAACATAAACCCAATCTTGAGAGCGCACCGCAGTCCTCCTGCAAGACAGAGACAGAAGAGAAGGCGGTGGCAGAGCTCTCCAAATTCAAAGACACGGGTACGATGACCGTGCAAACGGACAGCGGCTCTGAAGGCAGGGAGATGATGCAGAGGGGCCATCAAGATGCTGGGGTCCAGGCTGTGGCCAGCGTGGAAAACAAATCCTCTTCCACCAGCCCAAGCATCTTTGCTGCGTTCTTACAAGAGAGCGTGCATTCCGAGGCAAAACAGAAGCAAGAGCAATTACACATCATTTATACAGGAGGCGGCGGGAAGGAACAATCCGAAATCGTTGACGGTTTTGCACCTCTTCTCCAAACGGCTTCCCCCATGGGCATCATGCCTGAAGTGCATGTTCAGGCGGCAGCTACAGTAGACACGTCAGGAACTCAAGCTGTCAGACTTCAAAGCGACCCAGTGGGAATGCACGATACTGTCTGCTCAGCTTTGTCGGACAATGGGAAGCATCCGTGCTCGCTGACCTCCGATAGCGCTCGAGAAACACCAGTCAACCGGGTAGAAGCACAAAGGGCTGGCACGGCCGGCAGTCGCGGCGATTCTCAGCAGCCATCCGATTCGTCAGTCTTGCTGAAGACCAGACCTGTTTACCAGATTACTGTCAACAGCAGCAATCAGCCCACGGCTCCTCTGCAACCTGTGAAAGTTGAAACCAAACTACCTCCCTCTGCAGGAAATGACCAGGCTTCTCCATCTTGCTGCCGAGTATCCGAACAGGCCGCCCGCACTGCTGTCGGCACTCATGATAGCAGAGGAGGGCAGCATTTGCAAATCCAGACTGTTAGCAATCCTGAAACCGGTCCGGCTAGTTCCCACACGGACGTGAAACCAAAGAGGGAAGAAAAGTTCACCCCTCTTCGTTCGAAAGAGCTGGAAGTGAGTAAAATGGGAGCTGCTGCTGGGCCCCAGACAGGATGTAGCCCTGGCACCGGGAAGAGAGAACAGCATAAATTTCCAGAGCATCACAAAGAGGTAAAACTGGAGTCTGAGTCACGAAGAAGTCCTGTTCCTGCTCGAGGACTTCAGGTTGCCAAAGGGGGTGAAATGAGAAAGGAGGCCAAAATGGTGTCACCTGCTCAGCACAGACTAAATCTGAGTGGCAATAAGAAGGAGCCCAAGCCGGCCGCCGAGGCCAAAGCGCAGCTGAAGCAGTCCAAACGTGTCAGGGATGTCGTGTGGGATGAGCAAGGCATGACCTGGGAAGTCTACGGGGCTTCCCTCGACCCCGAGTCGTTGGGGATCGCTATCCAGAACCACTTGCAGAGGCAGATCAGAGAACACGAGAAACTGATAAAGTCCCAAAGCGCCCAGAACCGGAAATCCATTTCTTCAGATACATCGTCAAATAAGAAACTGAAGGGAAGGCAACATAATGTTTTCCAGTCCATGCTGCAGAATTTCCGACGTCCTAATTGCTGTGTCCGCCCCACTGCATCTTCTGTGTTGGACTGAAAGATGGGGGAATGGGGGTGGGAAGGTGGCGCTCGTCCATTTGTATCCATTTTTGTGTGTGTACGCTCAGAAATCCATTGGCAAATGAGCCCCCAAGTTCAGCTTTGTTGCTTGAGATTCGGATTCAGCACTGGGGAGGGGAAAGGTGGTAATCATATTCCCCGTAGCCTATGCTTCTTACCTGTCTTTGTTCTGCAGTCGGCACACACAACTTTTGCGTTAAAGGGAAAGCCATCGGCCCCAGTCTGTTGCCAAATGAAAAGACAAGCACAAATTAAAATTGCCAGTTTACTGCAGCAATCCCAATTGCTTTAGAAATGAAAGTGGGAAGAGGCATCAAACCCCCTTTTATAAAGTAGCTGATGGAGTCCCAATAGATCCTACACAGAATGTTTTTAAAAATGGGGATAATTTTTTCAACAGGCATATGGTTAATGTTGCAGACGTCCCTGAAAGTGGGACAAGGAGGGAGGTAGAAGATCAATAGACCTAAGGTCAGTTGGCATTGAAAGAGTAAGAAACTGTTTTTTCTTAAATCCCCCAAAACATTGAGAAATTTTTAAAGACTCCTAAGAGCACAGAGATGGGACGGGAGGCGGAATGATATAGCCCAATTGTGTGAAATCTCAGACGCTAAGCAGGGTCAGTACCGGGAAGGAAGACCGCCAAGTTTGGTGTAGTGGTTAAGTGTGCGGACTCTAATCTGGGAGAACCGGGTTTGATTCCCCACTCCTCCACTTGCACCTGCTGATGTGACCTTGGGTCAATCACAAACTCTGGCACAGCTATCCTTGAAAAAGAGCCGTTTGTGTCAGAGTTCTCTCAGCCCCACCGACCTCACAGGGTGTCTGTTGTGGGGAGGGGAAGGGAAAGGAGTTTGTAAGCCGCTCTGAGCCTCCAAGTGAAGGGCGGGGTATAAATCCAATATCCTCCTCCTCCTCCAAGGCAGACTCTGCAGAGGAAGGCAGTGGTAAGCCACCTCTACATCGCACTTGCCTTGAAATCCCTTGCTGGGGTTGCCATGAGTTGGCTGCAACTTGATGGCTCTTTACACACAAGCATAGAGGAATAGAGCTCAATATTACCTGTTCTGACTGGTAGTGACTCTCCAAGGTCTTAGGCAGAGAAGGGTCTTTCCCAGCACCAGTTACTTGAGATCCTACAGCTTGGAGGTATGTGGGATCTTCTGACTGTAATGCAGACGCTCTCTTCTGCTGACCACAGCCCCATCCTGGCTCTGTGATACTTGCACATTTTCTGTCTTCTAGTGGAACATCATTCCAAGTAAACAGCCCTCTCTGAGAAGGATTGCCTTGCACCTTGGGGTGCAAGGATCTTAGAAACCCAACCTTAGACTCCCAACCAATTTCAGTGGGTACTTGGTTTCCTTGAAATGTTTTTGGACTATTACATTAGATTTGGGGGAGGGGCTCTTGTTTGTTCATTACTGCATTTCTGTGACTGGCATTAATAATTCTGGGGGTCCTTTATCTGACACTTCAACCAGAAGTGCAGAATTCCACTTTGCTGTTTAAATACACGAAAGAATTGGAAAGATTATGGATGCTGTGAGTAGACTTTTAAACTAAATTATTTTTTTAAATTAATGCAGACAGAAATTCTCAGCACATAGCATAGGTTTAGGGTGGAATCCAGTCAGCTTTTGTGCTGATGAAAAATTAAGAATTCCCCTTTGACCACCACCAGCTTCATGTGTTCACCACTGAACAGCTCTTACTGTTAGGAAATTTCTCCCAATATTTAGCCAAAATTGCTATGACAACCTAGCCCACTCCCCTCCCTCAGAGGGAAGATTTTTCCCTTTGTTTTTCTCTCCAGCCCTATTTATCAATTTTTGTATTTTCTGAAGAAGTATGGCTGTCCCACTGTCACAGTATGAGATTTTGCTACTGGCACAGCCCAGGAACCTGAGGGAAGGGTTGAGATCCCCGTATAAGTTAAACCATTGAAATGGCACTTGCCCCTCTTTAAAGTTCAAAAATAACAAAATATTTAACATAGAGGGGAAAGGTCAGGTGAAATCAGGGGTAACATTTCTGAAGTAAATATGTATAGTATAGGCACAGACCATGGTTCATATGGTTCAAGCACTTTTCACAGTGACTTAGAATCTTTAAAATGAGAGGCTTTTGTTTCAGTGTTTCCCAGATACTCCAGTATATGTTCTTGAGCGTATTTGGCTCTTTTGGTTTCCAGAAAGCAGGGATACTCTGTCCGGTATCCAAACTCCTTCACTAAACACACCAGTCTTCTTGAGGTTTTTTTACTGACTCTTCAGGATTTAAAAGGCAGTTTCTAAACACACCAGACCAGGGATCTCTCCATTCTTCATTGCTATCTCCCTGTTTTAACTGGGCAGGGAAATATTTCTCTCACTAGAAGATCTATCCCAGAGGTGTCAAACTCATTTGTTATGAGAGCCAGATCTGACATAAACGTCACTTTGTCGGGCCGGGCCATGTGTGCTGTAAAACATAATGCCATGTACCAGGGATAGAAACTGTATAAAGGACAGCAGCTGGTAAGAGCCGAGTTGGTATAGCCTCCCTCACTCCAAGTCCCCATGGAGTGGGAGTGGGGTGCAGAGGAAAACCCACATGGGCAGACTGGAGAGACAGCAATGCAGCACTGGGCAGATACTCCCACAATGCTTAACTGCAGACAAGGTTGTTCTGCTGTGCCAAAGCCACAATGGACTGGCTCTGCCTACTCCCCCCCCAGCACTCCCTCCCTCACACCGGTTGCTTGCAGGCCGCATAGGAGCCCTGGGGAGGCCAGTTCCGGCACCTGGGCCTTATGTTTGACACCCCTGATCTATCCCCTTTTCTGGCCCAAATGGGAGTCTTCACCTAACTACCTACTCCTGCCAACCTTGCCAGTACTCCCTCTGTGTTAAACTGCTTTCAATCAGGGCTAAACACAAACCCTGTCAGCACTAAACCCTTCTCAGTCAGGGCTAGACTCAGACTCATCAGTACTAAACTCTTCTCAGTCAGGGTTGGATTCAGACTGCCCTCTCCTCAGCATTCAGCCCTCAAGTCTTTCTCTGCTCAACTGATGCTAACCAATGAAATTCCTTGGAGCAGCCTGTCACTCAAGGGTCTGTGAGGAATTAACCCCTCACAGTCCATTACCTGTTTACCGAGCACTTATAAGATTTCACAGTGCAGTCCGTCAGATCAGCTTCTTTGTAATTTCCACCCATTAACTAGGGACAGGCAGGCTCAATGGGCTCCCCTGTTGCTAAGTAAGGGGTCATTTGTTACATGCTGCAGAGCTTAAGAATGGGTCTTCTGATATAGGCAGGCTCAGAGGAGCAGTCTGGAGAATGGTGGCACTCGTGTTAATCATATCCTTATTAATCATAATCCTATTCACATTGAGAGCCATCATGGTGTAGTGCTTAAAGTGTTGGACTAAGATCTGGGAGACCCAGGTTCAAATCCCTACCTTGGCATGGAAGCTTGCTGGGTGAGCTTGAACCAATCACACACTCTCAGTCTAACCTACTTCACAGGGTCGTTGTGAGGATAAAATGGAGGAGAGGAGAATGCTGTAAGTCACTTGGGGTTTCTGAACAGGGAGAAAGGTAGGATATAAATAAAGTAAATTAAATTTAAAATCCTCGCTATCCATTTCTGTGGATTGGTAGGAGGTACTTGCTTGGAAAGGCTTGGGAGATATGGCTTTTCATAACCTGATTTTTATAGATCTGGTAACTCGACTAAGAGAAAAATGAGGGAGATAAAAAATGCAAATTGTAGCTTCCAGTCTAGTCTTTATCTGATTTCTTTCTAATTCAAGAGAGCAAAAGTCACAATTCTGGTGGGGTGAGGTGCAATCAGCAGTCTCACGAAATGGATCAGAGATGTTCTGGAATAATTCTTGTTCAGCGTCAAGTGGGGCATATTTTAATTATCCCAACAGAATTGGATCAGGAGAATGGATTTCAGAGGGACAAAATTCACATTTTTCAGATACAGCACTCTCACAAATTGATTCTGGAAAATTCTTAGGGCCAAGTTATGTTATTTTAAAAAAACGGACTTCTGTTGAAAATGGCATCTCTTGTGTCAAGAATTTCCTTCCTCTCCCTCTTGAACAAGAAGGAAAGCACGCATTTCATTGATATCTTTCCTTTCTTCCTACCTGGAGTGGCACAACATGTCACAGAGGGAGGGGAGGGGGAGCTCGGCATGGATGGCCCTGTGTGGCTTCTACGCGGGTGTTTTGTGCCCCCACAAAGTAAGAGTTGCCTTCTCTTTAGAGTTAAAGATGTTTCAGCTCTGCTACTCACATGCTCTAAAATCCATCATCCCATTGTCCACCAGTTCCAGTTTTCCATGCCTCCTTGTGCCTTCTGTCCCCTGCTCGTTTTGATTGATCAGACTGGCTTGGCTTGAATAGCCAGTACTGCGTGCTCAGGAAAAAAAAGAAATTTGATTTTCCTTGGGGAAAGGAGAATAACTTGAAAAAACTTGCCAGGGAAATGAAAATGTTGATGAAATGCAGATAATAAACACAGTAGGCTTACAGTGCAATCTTAAACTGAACAGAGTTTGAGTCCGGTGGCACCTTTAAGGTCCACAAAGTTTAATCCTGGGTATAAACCTTCATATACCTGCATACTTCATCTAATGAAGTGAGCATGCACACGAAAGCTTATACCCAGAATTAAGCTTTGTTGGTCTTAAAGGTGCCACCGGACTCAAACTCTGTTCTGTTGCTTCAGACCAACACGGCTACTTACCTGAATCAATCCTAAACTGAGTTATACCTATGGGCTTAGAAAGGTGTAACTCCGGTTTAGGACTGCATTATAAGATTTTAAAAGTTTCCTAAGGACAGTGTCAACAGACTTTCAGACAAGCCATTCAGATGTAAATGGGGCAAATACCAGAGAAATTGGTGGGACTCAGCTATTGGGAGTGCTGGAATATAAATATTTTAATAACCTGGCGTAAGCCAGATGTTAGTACACAGGATGTCACTGACAGTTTGTCCTGTTGTGCATACTCGCCATTTGGACTGCTGACCTACCCAGGGTCACTGGGGTTGGGGGGGGAGGTATTTGTGAATTTCCTGCATTGTGAAGGGGGTTGGACTAGATGACCCTGGAGGTCCTT